TATATATAAAATGGCAGAGTTACCTTTTTGACTCACGAGCAATCATGTTATTGTTCATAGTTTGTTGTATTCAAGATTTTATCATTTATCTGGTATTTGCCATAATCTTCGACGGAAGTATCCGTATCCTTCATTTTTTAGCAAACTTCCCAATATCAAATCCCGAGGACCAATTAATGATTATGAAATTTCCCTTTATCTCAGTTTTTATTGATATGGAAATCACAAACACTAAATATTTGTTGTCCACTGATCTTCTTTGGTATTATTATATTGACATCGAAATTAATCCCAAGTATGAGGCTTGTCTCTATTTGGTTATCCATTAAAAAAATTCTAGCTCTTTAACTCTTGTTAGGTTTTTGTTTACTTCGTTGAACTTTGTTCAGTTTTTTCATACATATTAAAAAATTACCGGAATCCCTTTTTCAAATCTTCAATTTGATCGTCAAGCTCAAATGCATAAACGTTTTTGTGTTGCTTTTATCATAATGACAATGTTGTAACTCAAATCGGATCTCTAGGGGTCAACTTCAATCAAATTCATTTGTCAGTCCAAAAACAAAAAAAAAAAATTGTAACTTTTATCAGTTCACCTTAACCCCTTCTACTTTACACTAGTACCACTTCAGCCCTTTATTTTCTGAACCCATTGGTGATCATCCATGATGGTAGGTGGTTGACATTTCGAAGTCAAACAAACGCGTCACATAGAAGACAATTGAAACCCCAAATGATGTGATTACATTCATACTTGGCATCAGTAGACGTATATATACAAGCCAGAAGGAATCCTCTTCTATGTTCGCCCTCCGTTCAACAACTTTGAAGTTCGGAAATTTCGAGGTCAGTCTTCAGCCTTCAATTTTGACAAAATCTTCACATTTACCGATTCAATATATCAGCTTCATGATCGGATAATTAACCTTTTTTGTTCATTTTTTATGGTTGTTAAAAACATTGCATGTGCGTTTGAAACTGGTAAAAACGGCTGAAAATGTTTTAGGGAACAATTGAAATTGAATTGATTTTGAAACCGATAACTTTTGTTCAGAAATACTGCAGATACACCAGATTAATGGCTCAATCAACAAATATAGCTGGGAAGAAGCTCATTAAAATTGATGTGACTTCGGATAGTGTGTGCCCATGGTGTTACGTGGGCAAGAAGAATCTAGACAAAGCTTTAGCTTTATCAAAAGATCAATACGATTTCGAGGTTCTAACTTTCTCTCACTTCAATCTGTTTTCTTCTGTTTTTAAATATATTAATCTGTTTATTGTTTCTGAAACAGATTAACTGGCATCCATTTTTATTAAACCCTTCTGCCCCTAAAGAAGGGGTTAACAAGATCGATTACTACAGGAGCAAATTTGGTTCTCGTGCTGATCAAATGAGTGTTCGGATGTCTCAGGTAACTCACTCACTTTGCTTTCAGTTTTCAATTCCTGGACGATTGTATTAATGCTATCGAATTTGCAGGTTTTTAAGGAAATCGGAATGGAATACAGCATGTCAGGCCTGACGTAAGTTTATAATTCCATTCCATTCCATTCTTAAACTATGGAAATACATCAAGAACTCACTGATTCTGTTTCTGGAAAGCAGGGGATGTTCCCTGGAAAGCCACAGGCTCATACTTTTTGCAGGGAAACAAGGGCTTGATAAGCAACACAATCTTGTTGAAGAGATATTCAAAGGCTATTTCACACAGGGAAAGTTTATAGGTGACAGGTAACTAACTTCATTTCACCATATATTATCAAACACCCTTTGTTACTCATAAACGAAACTTCTTATTTCATTTAAATGTCAACCAAATTGAGTGATTGAACAACTTGAATACAGGAACTTTCTTGTGGAATCTGCAAGGAAAGCTGGGATAGAAGGAGCAGCTGAGTTTCTTGATGATCCAAACATGGGACTTGAGGAGGTAGTATGCTTCAACTTTATAAAAAAATTCAAAAAAAATAAATAAATAAAGATGTTTGTTCAATTGTTTTACATAGTAAAACCAGTTTATAATAAACTTGTTGGTTACTATGAACTCTTGAAGGTTAATGAAGAACTTGAGAAACACTCAGCCAACATTTCTGGTGTCCCTCATTATGTGGTAGGCGATTAGATAATTAGATTTACTCTTTGGCTTTTGCCTTTTAGTTTGAATTAAAGGCTATTTATTTATTTCGTCTCAGATTAATGGAAAACATCAGCTGAGTGGTGGCCAACCTGCAGAAGTATTCCTGAGAGCTTTTCAAGTGGCTGCTAATTGAGTGATTTCATCTAGTAATTGCTACATATAAGAGTGTTATCAACTATCAAGTTGTTTTTATACATTCGTACATTAATGTTTGCAATAAATATTTCACTTATCTGATTTGTTTTTGGCTAAATAAACTTATGTTTTTGTTTATGTTCTTGATTTGAATCATAATCATTTGGAAGTCAAAACAAACTGCTTTCAAAAGTCTTTTTGAACATGTAAATACAGATGAAGTGAAAAATACAAGAGCATTCCCATTCAATCGGAATGTATTTCCTGTATAATTCAAGAGATTTCTTCCATAATTGAGTGTAAGAAAACGTGTGAAATTATATGGAACAATTAATCCATTTTTATACATGATAATAAAAAAAACACTGGTAACATGCGGGTGGGTATTCACAAAGAATTTACAAGCTGTTTTCTTGGTTTCTTTATCATCTTCATTTCTTTTGTGGTCGCGATTATATTTATAGCAGCACCACTTCATGTTAAAAGCCTAAACAGTCTCCTCATCAAATGCCATCACCTACAAAACCCAAAACATCCAAAGTTGTTGCCATGAAGAAAATGACGTAAATACCCTTACATAATGAAAGTAAAAACCATTACCTTGCCACAAACAGGGCAGCTGTCACTTCTTTCCATCCACTCGTATATGCAACCAAGGTGAAAATGGTGCGAACACTTTGTAACTATCTTAGGGTTTTCTGTAGTATATTCTGCAATTCAATACATCAAAATGTCATAAATACCCTTCCATAACGATATATCTATATGATGTGAAAAATGAAAATTTACCTTCAAGACATGTTGGACAAACGTCTTCATCTTCGGATGAAGAAAATATATGTGCATATCCAGTTGACTCTTTTGTGTTTGAAAACTTTAAAGAAGATTTTGTCTGTAACCCTTTTGTTCCATCTTCACAAGTGGAGCTATTATTATTCCATTTGTTTCCAGCAGCACATAAAGGATCAGTTTCTGTATCACTATCACTTCCTCTTAATGGTTCACCTTCTTCCTGTGAACGACTTGAGCCTTTCTCCCTTCTAGAAACAAGTCCATCTCTTTGAAGACGAATATACCTAGGATCAACATCATAAGGTAAAGGTCTAGGAGGTGATCTGTACACCCCAGATAAAGAATTGTCAAGTGATGCTGATGAACTAAAAGATGTTGTTGTCCCTTGAATGGAATTAGGGCTTGGAAGCCTCACATGTTCTTCCCCTCTTTGGAATAATGATGCGTACTATTCAAAGAAAATCATGGAATAAGTAACTATTGAGTATCATGAGAGGGGAGAAATTGGATCATGAAACATTTGATTAGATGAGTGGTAATGAACATACCATATATAAGAAATTTTGAAGAAAGCATCGAAGACAGATGCAGTTTCTGTAAATGGAACTATTGGGATTAACATAATCTTCACATTCATCACGCAAGCAGCAACAAACAGAACCCATGATGATGATGATGATGATGATGATGATGATGATACTCTAGTTTTAACAAAGAATCAGAGAGGATTTGAGGCCCGCAGAAGTTACAATGGCTCTGCGAACCAGTAGAACCTCTCTATCTGACCTCTCACCTCCGTATGAATATACCAAATCAAATGTCGTTTACTGCCTACAATTGAATTCATCATGTACACATTCAGTCAGGAATGTTTCTTTTGGAAAACATAATTCCACATTAGAAAAAAAGAAGTGAATTCAATAAGTTAATCCGAGCTCGTAATTAAAACCCATGTGGTTTTCGATCATAAAACCCTAAAGATCAGATATGGAAATAAGCATGAATTTTTGTAGAATCAAGGGGGGCGGCAGACGGAATAAATGACTTGGTATAACCACAAAGCAACCAGGTCAAGAGATTATTTTTTAAAAAAATCATCTCAATTCCCTAAAAGACTTTTTCCCAAATTGTGTATGAAACGTGTTGTGCTTTATTCAGTCGATTCTGAATTTAACCTGTTTCAATTTTATTCAAAGTCCTGCAACCAAAAATAAGAATCGGATGAACCCCGACCTAGAATGTCAATTCTTCAACAGCGTAGAAAACCCATAGAAACAGATTGTGAATCGTTCAATTGGCAGCGATAACAGCATCAGAAATCCGAAGAACACGTAACGATGATGGATAATGGAAGAATGAAGAGATAAGGGTACCTTGAGACAGTGAGAGAGGTTGATGCTTATGTTGGCGATGATGAACAGAAAACCTGAAAATTCGAAGTTTGATGTTTGGGGTTCTGTTGCTTAATTATCAATTATCATATATCAGATGATATGAGAAATTCTTCGAGTATTTTTGTTGGATTTTTTGGCGAGAAAGACTACGAGAACACGCGGTATTCATGTCAATGGTGGGTGGCAAGTTATAATTGAGAAAGTATGGGTCCTTTTGTGTTAATTTGTAGAACAATGCTTCAAAGTTTTTACGATATTGTAGTTAGACCCTTGAAAATGAATACAAATCACCGCAACTCCCTATGATAGTATACTTTACTTACATTTGGAATGTGAAAATAATAATAATATTTTTTAGTTACTCGTGACTCAACTATTAAAAACATCAAGATCAAAAGAGTAACTCAGATTTTGGCAGTCATATCATTCTAAGTTAAATCTTTGCTAAAATACAACAATACACTCGAAAAAAAAAATCATTACAAAGTATCTTTTTTAAACGGTAAATATAACTTACTCCTAAACTACACCTTAAATCCATCTATGTCCATAACAGGACTTGAACCCTCAACCTCAAGGAGGGAGGGCAACACCAGCTACCGTTGGGCTAAAAGCCCTTTGGTCATTACAAAGGATCTGATTCTAGAAATAGAATATGATAACATTAATAAATAGGATTTTTATTACATATTTGGGTTTATAGAGACATTGAAAGAGATGAGTATCATTCGCTTATAAATTTCAAATGATAACTCTTTTGATATTAAACATGGAAACTCAATAGTTACCTTCCATGCACACCATTATTTTTCATTTTTTCTAATAATATCAAACAGACGTCAATCACCGTCTTCTTAGAATATCATCTTAATTTATAAAACACAAAATCAAATATTATAGGCCAAACAACACAATAAGTAGAAGCAACATGGTCTTTTTTGTAGATTTATTCATTTCTATTTATAAAAGAATTCTATTTATTGATGAAACTATCAATATAGATACATTTAGCTTTAAGAGAATTTACTTTTTGTCTAGTATTGTCATCGAAAAATCATGACATAAGAGCTAGGACTTCAAAAAAGATTATCTGTATAAAATATATGGTTTATTGAATTAATTGTAAACAACAATTAATTAAGTTTTTTATATCAACAAAAATATCCTCGAATTATAGGGATACTATGTTTTTTTCAATGATATAGATTTTTAAAATGATTACACTTATCATATGATAGAAGTCTAACCGTTAAGACAATTTCATGCAAAAAGATTAAGATTCAAACCTGCTCAATAACAAAGTAAACTAAAGAAAAAGTAAACTACTTTCAAATGGATTGTAATCATTCTATCATTATCATACACATACATCCATTATACCAAGGGTCTTTATTGTCATTTTAATGATTTTTTGGGATGACTTTGCAAAAAGTTTTACCAACTACACGGACTGATACAATGGCCTTATGTGGTAGATCTTTTTTTATAATTTATTATTGTGTTGCTTTCAATCGATTTAATTTTTTCAATTGGCCTTAAAATAATGTCTCTCACCATATTTACTTTTTTATAGTTTTCAATAGTTTTATCAGACACACTTGCTAAATTATACACTTTTTTATTTTATTTTTTAAGATGTTAATATTCATTGAATGGTTAGAGCTCGATTGTGTGTAGCATGATTAGGGTTTTTTTTAATAACCCTATAGAATTTCATATTTTACAAGAGAGTACAGCATGCATAGAAAGCAATATAGGGTTTTCTTTTCATAATCGCCTTACAGAATTTCATATTTTACAAATAAGATTTTAAACATTTACATGATCAAGTTTATTAACTTATTGAAGCATTTTAAAACAAGACATTTTTTATTTGATTGTTTATGTGAAAATATAGACACTATTGTTAGAAATATGTTTCTATTTCTGTTGGTGATTTGGGATTAAAGCACTTGGAAATTCTGAGATCGTGATTTACACTTTCAAATCGAAGTATTGGGTGGTATTCTCAAATCCTCAATTGGATAATACTCAAAAGTTTGAGAACAATAAAGAGAATGAGGAGTTTTGTTTTGTCCGTTGAGTTCTTCAACGTAAAGTACCATACACCTTGAAATTGACCAAAAAATTACTTAAATATGTCAATTGGTTGAAAACCGTCACAAGACAATTGCAAAGTTCAAAAAACTGACACAAAACGGGCTTTTAATCGTTGGACAATAAGTTTAACCGATGAATATCCACCTTTCAGTCAAACCTGACACAGAACAATCGTTTTGTTAGAAACACGGGATATAGATAAACTTGGATCAGTGAGAGTTGTGAAACACTTTCAGATTAAAGCATTTCGAGGGTACACTCAAAATCACTAATCGGATGAAACTCACAGTTTTTCTAGAATGGAGAATGAAGAAGATGTTATGAAATCTGTACCCAAAAGGAATCCGAAATTGATCATATAACAGAAACTAACTTCCTGTCCTAAAACTGTCATATGGTAGTTTATAGGAAAACAACTTCATGTCCAAAAATGGTCATATTACCTGTCAAAAACTAACATAAAACCGAGTCTATAAATGGATCACAAAACTGGGTGTTTTTACAAAAATACGGATTTCTGAGACATTTTTTATATAGTAACATAACTCATATAAAAAATCGCCGCCAGGGGCGCTCTCCCCGGACCCCCGTCAGTTCAAGGGCTTCACCACTAAATAGCAGTATACTTTCAACAATGACAAAATCAAACAAATGTGCACTCCGCACCATACTAATTTGTTCGATAATTTTCAAAGTGACATTGATCAACAAATTAACCTCATTACACTTAAATAATATTAGTGGTATAAAATCACCAACACATTTTAACCATTGGATATAATACTGACCAGCACGTGTTTCGACGCAAGCTTGTAGCGATTCATGGTTTCGAAAACAAGTTCGTTGTGATTGTTTCAATGAATCGTTGCGATATGATCCTATATGGATCATACTGATGTGAACCATCAATGATTATTTTGATGTGAAATGAACAGTACCATTCAACGCGATGTGAAAGTTCCAAAATGTTGTGTTACAACTAGTTACGATCGATCGCAATTGAACAGTAACATACTATCGTTGCAAAAGAGCATTCGCATCCAGTATTCCGGAATCACATTCGCATCACTTCAAATTAAAAACTTAGTATTGGTCTGAAATCAACTATACTCCAAACTCAATTTCGATTTAACACTTACTTATTTTGAATTGTTTTTGTTCCAACTTCAAACCAATTCTGAAATCAATTTAGCCCTTACTTAAAATCTTGAATAAACTTAAACATGTGTGTACTCCACACCTTTCTTACTTGTTTAATATTTATCAAGATTAATTTTGGTCAACAAGTCAATCCATTACACTTAAATACACTTAGTGAAACAATTCACCAACAAACCTCCCCCATTTTAGTGTAATCTTGATTAACTTAAAAAACAAAACATAACAACAACAAACTGATGCATAAATGAAATATCGTGACGATTGAATTTCATATTAGTGTATTACTCATTCCAAATATTCGAATATCAGGGTATCACTAAGGATTGGACCATTTCTATCCAAGTGAATACATGAAGATAATATACACAACAGTTTACATTCTCATAATTTCTAACTTGACACTACATTTTACTAACTTGTGTCCCATCCTTCAATAAGCATATCAAATTCAAGTCTCAACTTCTTGAAGCAGTTAAATTTCATGCTTACATAGGAAATGCAATTTTACAAAGAAATATTAAGAAATAAAATTTCAACATCCTTTACTTGCAGTACTGAACACATACCTTGGGATGATGTCAATAATGTGTTCCAACCTTTAAATATTAAGTTTTCCACATTGAATTTAGCATCTAGTATTACATTAGATGTGAATTGGGTATCTTAATATAAAAGATTTTAAATGGACTTTAAACCAATCCCTACAACCGCCTTGTGAACAAGATCTATTGCTAACCCTTTGGTTAGATGATCGGCCAAATTTAACTGAGTTCTCACAAACTCAACAGATATCACACCAGTCATGATGAGCTCACGCATCATGTTATGTCTAACACCTAAGTGTCTAGACTTCCCATTATACACTTGACTATAAGCCTTAGCCAAAGTTGCAGCACTATCACATCTGATAGAAATGGTAAATATTGGTTTGGGCCATAATGAAATTTCATAAATCGAATTCCTTATCCACTCAACTTCTTTACCAGCGGCATATAAAGCTACAAACTCAGATTTCATTGTTGAGTTGGTAATACATATCTGTTTCTTGGATGCCCAATAAATTTCTCCTCCTACAAGAAGAAACACACAACTACTTGTAGATGAGTGGTCCTCTAAGTTGTTAATCCAGCTAGCATCAAAATATCCTTCCAAAACAGAAGGATATCCACTATAAGTTAAACCATAATTCATGGTCCCTTTCAAGTACTTAAATACTTTACTCGAATTTTTCCAATGATGTGAACTAGGATTACTAGTATATCTACTAAGTCTTCCCACATCATATGATATATCAGGCTTAGTGATAATCATGACATACATCAGACAACCAATATTCCTTGAGTATTTAAGTTGAGACACTGGAGATCCTTTATTTGGTAGAAGCTTTAGACTAGGATCTATAGGAGTGCTAACAGGAGAACAATTCTCAAAGTTAAACTTTTTAAAAATTTTCTCAATATAATGAGATTGAGAAATTGAAATCTCATTGTTTCCTTGTTTAATTCTTATACCAAGAATTACATTTGCCTCCCCCAGGTCTTTCATTTCAAAACTAGATGATATGAATTTACTGGTTCTGTTAACTTCTTCCAAATCCGTACCAAAAATCAACATATCATCCATATATAAACAAATTATAACTCCTTTACCAGAAGCATCAAATTTTCCATATACACACTTGTCAGCTTGGTTTAATGCAAAACTGTAACATTCGGATTTCCAGGTATGATAAAATGAGATTATTTTCTAAGTTATGAGGAGTGACTCGACGAGTTGACGCCTTAACTCGTCGAGTAGGATCGCGACTTGGTGACGTGGAAAATGAATGGACTCGACGATTCGACAAGCTGACTCGCCGAGTCAGCGCTGTTGGCAGAAACCCTAATTCTTTCGGGCTTGGGCCTATTTAAAGGCACTTATAGCCTCTTTGGCCCTCCCCACCAGTGTCTTCGTCCCTTGAGAGAAACCCTAGAGTTATTGTGAGTTAGAGAGGAAAGAGGTTAATTGGAGGCCATTTCTTTGAAGAAGAAGGTCAAGAGTGTTGCAAGGATCTCAGAGGAGAGTTGGTGGATCAGCTTCATCTTCATTCAAGCTTCAAATCTGGTACAAGCTCTTGTATCCCTGGTGTTTGAGTAGATTTCCTTTGGTTGTTGAGTTAGGGCTTGTATCACCATTTGGATGGGGTTTTGGGTGCATCCAAACCCTTTTTCGGGTTGTTTTGTAGATCTGGACCTTGTGAGGTCCAGAGAACCAGAAAGTAGGTAGCTTTGAGTGAGTAACTTTGGAACCTTGAAGCTATGAAGCTTCAATGGAGTCATAATGGTGTATAGAGCAAAATACACCATGCATGAGCCCCAAGTTCAGACCTTTACGTGATTTTTGGGTGTTAGAAGGCCATATCTATAAGTTAGAGAAACAGATCTGACCTCAGAAGGTCAAATGAGTATTGTCATGGAGGAAACTCGTCGAGTCCATAAGGGGACTCGACGAGTCGGATCGGGTTGCCCCGCGATTCGTGATCAGTGGTAACCCGTCAAGTGAAAGGTTAACTCG